TCCCAAAATCATTCCCCGAACGACCATACAGAACCCAGCCCAGCCTAGTTTTGGCGACTACTGGCTCGTGTTCGCGGCCTTCGCGCAACTTCAGCGTGGTCTTCAACCTTGTGTTGTCCAAACCAATCAGGATTCCTGGAACGGCGTCGTTGTAGCTTTGAACCGGAAGACCTCTCATATACAGATATTTGCCCCTAAGCTCTTCAAAGTGCATGGACTGTCGTGGTAGTTCTAGTCCATCGACGGTTTGAACTCTGCGTAGGGTGAACTGCTTGTCCGTGATCGATCCCGAAATGTTCAGTTGAATTTGCTGGGATTCTTCTTCCACACGCTTGACTCCATTGGTCCACTGCATGCAGAGCGGAGAAGTTGGACCTTGTACACCCAACTGTTCTGCCAAAGATCGTTCCATCAAAGTGGAACCTGAACCACCATCCAAGAAAGCGAATGTTCGTACCGATCGACCGTTGGCGTGAAGGACTACCGGGATGATACGAAACAGAACTTGGAGCTGTTGTTGATGAACGGAGATTACGCCAGAAAACGGAGCTGAACGCTCTGCTTTGGGTTGTCGTGGATCACCCGGATGGTGCAATCGGTGATGCCGTTGTTGACAGCCATTGACCACGCAGTTTGATGTTTTGCACGGCCATTTACCATGCGGATATAAGCAGCGTCGACAGAGACTCACTTCTTGGGTTACCTTCCATTTGTCTTTAACGTCTTCGACTTGAAGCTACAGCAATCCTTTGGTTTGTGCCCGGTTTTTTGACAAACAACACAAGGACGCTCGCTCCCCGTTTGGTTGGAAGGATCTGGTTTCTTGTTGGTTGCCTTGTCGTTCCGGATGTTCACCGTGTGTATCTCGGCTTTTCCTTTTGACTTTTCGGATTTGGCGGTGACTGGTGTAACACTACTAGCTGCCGTTACGATCACGTTCATGTAATCCGAAAATGTCCTCAAGTCCACGTTCTGCACTCGTTGCTTATGCATCGCCCAATCCAGCTTAATGTTGGCTGGAAGCTTTTAGACTAGCTCATCGATCAAGATCGGGTTAGTCAAATGTACCTGTTGTCCAGTCGAAACTAGATGCGTACAGAAATTGCGAACAGCCAGGCCGAAACTGATGATAGTCCCCAGTTTTTCTGGTCGCGGTGTCGGTGTTGCTCGCACCTCAGCCAGAAGAGAGTTGATGATTGCTTCCGGTCGTCCATACAGAACCCGCAACGTGTTGATTATCTCCGGAACGTTTGACGGATGAAGAAGAAAACTGCTCACTGCTTTCTTTCCGTCCCCTTTCAAGCTTCGTTGTAATCGCATCAGGTTCTCCGAATCGTTGTACCCACACATCTGCGTGGACGTATCATAGCTGCTCCAGAACATCGGCCACTCTGTTGGATCCCCAGTAAACACGGAAGGTCTTTGAGAACAACGTGGCGTTCTGCCAACTGCTGCGCATTCGGGCCGTACGATGGCTGAAACACCCCATACTGCACATGTGGGTTTGATAACTCGAGACACTCACTACAGGAGGACGAAGTGGCGGTCGAGAATTACCCCATGTTTGCGAAAGCATTGGTACGGTTTGTGTGTGAGAAGCAGCTAAAGGAGCATTTTGTGACACCAGAGGATTTGAAAAACCTGAAGGCTGGTTCCTATTTAAGAAATAACTATCGGAATCTAAGTGCGATACGTTTCTAGGTATTTCAGAGTGCCCTAACTGCCGTAGTGTTGGCTGGAAAGTATGTGATGGTTGGACATAGTTTTGATTGGTTGGTTCTACAGTTCTTCTTGCGAAAACTTCTGAGCTGGTAGTACTCACCTTGTTCGAAGTAGGTACTACATACGGATTGTACTGACCAACTCCATCGAACTTTATCGACGCTATCGGTTGCACTTTCACCGCTACACATACTCGCTCGTGAACTTGCCTTAGCATCCTCATCCCATCATCTTTTCCCTCCTGTCCTTTTCCTGCAACATTGGACGTCGCGTGAAAGTGGAACTTAAATGAAGCCCTAAGTGATATTTCCTAGCTTTTAGATTTGGTATGCGAAAGATCGTCGGTTACAGTGGCTTGCTTACTGAGCAGAAAAACGCTGTCCCAGGTCCTTTAATGTTAAAAATGTATGGTAAGATCGCTTGTTTATCGTGTATTTTGTAAAAGTTTTCGTTATCGTCGGTGCCGGGTTTGAATAGTTATAACAGCTTGAGTAACGGTATAATGTGATATAAGGGGCTCGGTGGCCTTACAGCAACCGTTTTTGCTTACTGAGCTGAACATCATGAGTCTAATCTCAAGCCCATCCACATTCAAGATTCGTCAATCGTTTTATTTGTTAACACTACTACATGGTAATAACAGCAACTCGATGATTAAAAAGGAGCTTGTTTGCCTAGTGGCAAACGTTTTGGCTTACTGAGCAGAAGACCGTGGTTTCAATCCCAACCTCATTAGAGTTATATAATCGGTAGGAAAGCAATTCAGCTTATCATATACCAAAACAAACCCTGCTGCAAGCCCAACCCTCTTACCCAACATCCCTGTGATTCCTCGTGGAAGTGGACTCCTCGGCTTCCATCAAAGTAGGTGTCACGTCAACACATTCCTACCCATTACTTGTTTGACCTGCGTTCAGGTGCGGCTGGCGCTGGTTTTGCCTAATTTGAGAACACTAGTTTTTACACATTGAGGATGATTGCTAGTTCCAAGCATCGTGTATTGGTTCTCTGTGTAATTACAGCTGGTCTGGCAATAACAGAGTAGCAACCGTGGACGGTCAATCATGCTCATGCTTATTAATGTTGGATCACTGAATCCGAATCTGAAATCATATTTCGGTAAAATGTTCGATTTATGTGAAAAACTGCTGTTAATTGCCTGCATTTAAGCGTACCTTTATCTATTACTTTAAAAAATGCAGTTTTTCGTAAACAACAGCTTTTGTTGGATTTTTTCCTTGGTTTGTTTTGTGCCGATCTTGTTTTCCGTTCTGAGTACCAATGGTACCGACGCCAGGGAGGCAGCTCCCACAGCTGGACCCTACCTATCGACCCATCAACTTATGGACCGGGGACCAACGGCTTTACTTCCCTTCCAAAGGAAGACGTGATCACAGTTGTTGGAATGTTAACACCAGATTCTTCTTCAGCGAGCGCTAACTTCTGAATATTGTATTGCATAAAAACATGCATGATCAACTTCATCCCAGAATTGAAAATTTTAATTTTTAATCTAATTCCCAATTCTGAAAAATGAACCACATGCAATTTAAAAGCTAAATTCGTACACCAGAAAAGCATTTGCTAGTACAGGTTCGAGCAGTATTTGTTTGTGTGCCAAAGACACCCAGTATAGGTTTACGTTTAATAGACAATAATTTATAAAAGCTACCCCTTATTAGAAAAGCGATGAGTTTTAATATTTACCTCAAAGGATTTCCGCTTTTCGTTATGATATCCCACCATAAAAACCGCACCAATAAATTATTTCCGCATATTAATCGGACACTCTTATTCATTCCAATTAACGTACCACCACTCGATTCCGTAAGGTGTCCTAAAATCGATTCCAGAATCGCTTCCCTTTTATTCGTTCTGAATATGTAATTGGGCGGAATTTGAATGAGAACGAAAACTGGTTCTGAATGAATGAATTTTATGCTAATTCTACCGAAACCCGATTAAGTTCCCAACATACATTCGGTAGACCACGTAAAACTGGTGACAAACTTACCTAAATTCCATGGAAAGAAACTGGTTCAGCTGTGATTGTGATTGTGTTTGTGATCTTGATTTCGTTTGTCTTTGCGAATTATTTATGAGTTGTTTTAATATTCTGTCTGGTCCCATTCATTGGGTTCGTTTTTCGAACCTTTGACGTAATAGCTCGAGAACCGTTTTTCAGCTAACCTTCCATTCGATGGAACAAAGAATATCAAAGTCATCAGATGACGTTAATTTTCTTCCCAAAAAACAAAAATAAACAATAATTCTTGAACAAATTCCGGTTCTATCAAAAATCAAAATAAAATAATATCGTGATCTTTAATATTGGCTCATAACTCAAGTCGAATATCTCGCATAGATAGCTCATATGGAAACTTCCTGCTTTCGTTGGTCCACACCCAAGCTGAAACATAGTCCGATTTAAGAATATCTGCCCCGTGTCGTCTAGATTCTCCGCGAGCAAAGGCGGTCGTGTGAATTGTTGCATTTTAAATGAGTGGCAGTAAATCAATCCCGGCGGCTCCCACTTTCAGCTTTTCCGATTATAAATTATAAAATATTCGATATGGATGCTAGCTGACTGAACGATTCGTGGAAAGGTCAACATGCCTATTACGTACCTCAAATTCATTCTAAGTCTGTACCACTTTTGCATTCGTATATTTTGTGGCAAGAAAGTTCTGCAATCCCATTTTTTCCTATGTCAGGTCACATTACGATTCGTTTAATGTTCAATCACCCAAATTTTTGTACCATTCGCACTTCTCCCATCTAAAACCACTTATAAATTCCACCACCTCCGTTTAAAGAACGTGAAATGCGAGATGCGCGTGACCCCAACTCGCCAAAATCCTAAGATTAGAAGTTCCATTCGTTCTCCTGTTATTCGATGGCGCACACCAAATCCAAACCGAGCCAAACGATATGGCTGTGACCTCCGATAAATGATAATTTGATTAGTTATTCAAACTTATTAAGATGTAAATTTCCCACATGTGTCTTGGCCACGGCTGACAAATCAACCGCTGACAGACGCCTTTTATCATACAAATTGAACCACGATTCGAATTCGATCTTTCGAACGTCCAACGCAAATCCATTACCGATCCGAGACATTTATCATTAATCACAGCTGTTCGGGTCTAAATCAGTTTGAAGGATCCTCTTATCTTATTGGTTGATAGTTTTTCGTACAGTGTAAGGTAACGCACAGTCTCTTGCAACATTCACTTTAGCAATCACGATTTTTTCCTGAAATCACCAACACTTACTATTTTCATTTTCGTCACTTTTTCTTTATCACAGGGAAGGACTTTCACTTGAAATTTGGGAAACACGGACGCGGTCGATCGATCGGGGGGAGGCGCACTAGCCAGACAGACGACGGAGATGCTACTAGGATCGGTTCGGCTATCAAACTAAACCAGATCGACGGCAGGAGGGGCACTTTATAGAGGAGACACCACCATGGCTGAATCTTCCACTTGGCGTGTATGGCAAACGAAAGGAGGATTTTGGAGGTTCTAACGCAGAAGAGCAGAAAACCTGATCCTCCTAATTCGGCACCGGATTCGGCGAGCGTGTAGTGTGTCACCTGTCTGTGTAGCGCGCTGACGATGATGATGCTCGGCTAAACTTTACTCAGGCCGTCGGTTGGTGTATCGATTTCTGGTAAGTTTTTGTCGGTGTTTATGTTTAGTGATGCGACTGATAAATGTAATTATGCTTTCGGGTTCCTAACGGACAGTAACGGGCACAATCATAATTGTAATGGCTGAAGGGTTTTACAATTTAAAGCATTTAGTTTCCGAATTTTTTCAGAACTTTTGAAAGAGAGATAATTTCATGAATCAATTCCTGAGGTGAGATTCTGGAGTTTAATTTCGACGATTCGGGCTAAGATATTTTTTAAAGATTCACTTATGCGATTATGGAAGGGTCTACCTTAGCTCAGTCGGTAAAGAGAGCAGCTACAAAGCAAGACCATGGTGGAGGTGGCTGGGTTCATTTCCCGGCCCGGTCTAGGAATTTTTCGGGTTGGAAAATTTCTCGACTTCCATGGGCATAGAGTATGATTGCACTTGCCACACAATTATGCTAATGCATAAATGGTACATCATCTCAATTAATAACTGTGGAAGTGCATCTAGAACACGAAGTTGAGAGCACACAATAAGATTATATGCGATAAGCAATAGGCTTCCAAATGCGAAGAAGAAGAAGAAAAAGAAGTTATGCGATTATGGATAGTGTCTCAGACAACCAGAATATATGCATTTCAAAGTTGCATTTACGATATGCGAACACCGATACCAACAAATAAATCGTATATAATGCACAAAAAGAGATTATGCGTACAAACCTGCAACCCCGAAGGGAGCCAAAATTCTAGGCTCTGTTAGCATCAGTCTTGTAAGCGGTCACGGTAGTCGACACATTTTCTGTAATAATTGACTGCCTTTGCCTCCGACACTTGCAAAACAAGCTTTCATAGTACAGTACCAAACTAAAATGTCATATGACAGGCTCTGTCATACGACACTGTCGCCGAAGACCGTCACGAATGTATGTATTTTAGTTTTTATCATAATAAGAGCTGCTGATGGTGTGCTTGTGTGAATTCTGAAAATAGCAAGTAATGATGTCCTAGTAATAATATTTCTGATCAGAAATGGTTTGATTTACACCAAATTGAGGAATTACAACGAAATCACACATGTCATATGATAGCTATTTTGATAATTTTCTTTTAGCTCGAATGTTATTCTACCGCTCGTGTTGTGTGAGAGAGACGACGGTAGAACATGAGTGTTCGAATACAAGCAGACTGTCGCGCACGACAACGAAGTGAGTGTAGTAAAAAACGTCGACTGTTTCAACCCCTGGTTAGCATAAAGCATAACGAAGCGGGTTGAAAATGGCGAATGAACCAGCTAAATACGTTGATCTATTCAACAATTACATTCGTGTTGGACAAACCCGATAACAACGGAAAACCTTAATTCATGGCCATGAAAACAAGAGTACGGACATACCTGCGCAGAATTTATAGGTTCAGTGAGATGCGATGCGATGTCGATGGACGAAGCTTTGACGATAGACGGATGGATGGCAACAGACGAATGTTGGTGGCCTCTCAAAGGTTCCTGGTGATGGCGGCGAGCGACCTTCGGCGGCGATTATGTTGGTTTCGCAATGCCGCTACAATAATGACAACCGGAAAACGACCAAGTATGGCTAAAATTTGAGGATGGAAGGCTTCCGATTTAAAACGGGGAGCAGAGCTGCGATGAAGGCGAGCTGTCCCGGGAAATTCACTCCGTGGTGGTAAGGCATCAACGTTCGTCGGACGGCATTGCGAGCTACCGCTATGGCCACCCAAGATGAAATGAAATCCCCAATTCCTCGTTGGGATGAATGTGGACCGAGGTGCGCAATTGACTTCACACTTCTACGGTCGAGCTCTCGTAAATTCTGGTCCCCGGGGGTTGTAACGGAATAGGGACCTTACCAATGGTCTTTAGCGACCTTCTGGAAACAATTCACTAAGAAGAAACTAGCGTCTTCACTCACCTCCGTTTGACTACCTACTAGAGGCGGGCCTTCGCTGTGCCCACGAGTCTGATCCGTCCTTCACGGAAATCCAGCCCATACAAAAAAGCTTGTTGAACGAGCTGTCCAACGCGAAAACATGAAATTCAAAATTGATTATATTTAATGTACTATAAAACACTAAAAAGCAGTTGTTTGCGGCGCACCTATTGTGAACGATCAACTAACCTAAACGCACAAAATATCATGTTAAAGAAATGAGCTGACTCAATTCACTTCTTTTAAAACTAATCACCTTCAAATTCGTAGATTTATTTTACAGAGTCTACTTTACTAACTTAAAAACCGCGTCACACGTCAGCTTTCCAGCCGATTCATTAGCGATATGGACGAGATTAAAGGGTGATACGGTCAAAATTTGGTCAAAGGAAAACGCGTGTAAATCGATGAAATCGTTTATTTAAAAAATCAAATTAAATTTCTTTTTCAAGTTCAATTAGTAAAAATTCAGGAAAAATATTCAGTTAGGCTTCCGCTTCTCTAAATCCGAATTGCCGGGCCTTACGCTTGACCCCTGCCATCAGATTTTGTACAGCCACCTTGTCCACCTTCTTCGCCGCAGAAAGCCAGTTTGCCTTGAACTGCTGCTCGCCCTTAGCAGTTTTTTTGGTCTTTTTTAGGTTCCGCTTGACAATAGCCCAGTATTTCTCAATTGGGCGGAGCTCTGGCGTGTTGGGAGGGTTCTTGTCCTTGGGAACCACCTGCACGTTGTTGGCGGCGTACCACTCCATGGCCTTTTTACCGTAATGGCAAGATGCCAAATTCGGCCAAAACAGTACGGAACAACCGTGTTTCTTCAGGAAAGGCAGCAGACGTTTATTCAAACACTCTTTCACGTAAATTTCTTGGTTGATAGTCCCGGAAGCTATGAAAATGCTGCTTTTCAAGCCACAGGTACAGATGGCTTGCCAAACCAGATATTTCTTTGCGAACTTTGACAGTTTCATGTGCTTGAAAACATCTGCTACCTTTCCCCTTCCTTTTGCCGTATAAAACTCCTGTCCCGGAAGCTGCTTGTAGTCGGCTTTGACGTAGGTTTCGTCGTCCATTACCACGCAGTCAAACTTCGTCAGCATCGTCGTGTACAGCCTCCGGGATCGCGCTTTGGCCGTCGTATTTTGTTTATCATCGCGATTTGGAGTCAGTACCTTCTTGTAAGTCGATAGTCCGGCTCGTTTTTTGGCTCGATGCACGGTTGTAGACGATACACCCAGCTTATTTGCGGCATCTCGGAGAGAGAGGTTAGGGTTTCGCTTGAAACTACCGGCAACTCTCTTTGTCGTCTCAGCGGCTTCCGGTTTTCGATTTCCCCCCGATCCAGACTTCCTGGCTGTCGACAAACGTTCCCCAAACACTTTAATTACATTTGTAACGGTTGATTTCGCAACTTTTAGCGATTTTGCCAACTTTGCGTGCGAGTAGCTCGGATTTTGCGCGAGCAAAATTTTGATACGCTGCTCTTCTTGCTTGGACGGCATTTTGACAACTGAAGAGTGAATTCCAAAATCAAAATAGGAGCAACATTCTACTCACACACACCTTCAAAATGAGGGGTGTTCAGGTTTTTTAAATGCAAAATTGAAAGAAATACGTCAAGTTGATATTGACCAAATTTTGACCGTATCACCCTTTAGAATGTTTGTTCCCCAAGAAACCACAGGTTTTCTTTAACACTCCAAAAAATCATAACTCAGCCATTTATTGACGAATTTCAAACCTATTTTAGAATATCCCATTCTCAGTAGACCCTGGAATTTTGACGTCATGGGAAGAGTTGTCAAAACAGTTATAACAAACAACTTTTTCGAAGAAATTTTATTGCTTAGATGCTTTTGCTAAAAGCTAGCTGTAGTGCAAGGGGTAAGTCACTCTGCCACATTGTGCTAACACCCTCAAAAACACACTTCAAACACCCACAAACACCCTTCCACCACTTGATAAACTTTTTTTTTTATAAATTCTGGCACTACTGCTCATAATGTTTACATTAGATTGTTGTTGTTTTGAAAAATTCGCGACCTACCAGCACAAAAGGTCCGGATGTCCATGATGTCACTGCGGATTTGGACGCATGGCTTGAGAATTCCACTGCATCGAGCTAGATTAGAGATAAAGAGCATTGTTTCAATTCAAGACCAACAATTGAAATGGCCTTAACTTCATTTAGTAAACAAACCTTGTAAGGCCAGTTTCTCGCGAACCGAAGTCCGTAAAGGCAAACCAACATTATTAACAGGTAGGGGAAATTCTCCTCTACCCGATTGTGATTTAGGTTAGCGAATGAAGGTTTCGGTTCGCGAGAAAATGGCCTTACAAGGTTTGTTTACAAAATGGAGTTAAGGCCATTTCAATTGTTGGTCTTGAATTATAAAGTTCTTGGTGGGCGTTGACCAGATTTGGATTTTTCAGATATATTCCTAAATAGGACCTAGATTATTTAATACTCTAGTAACCTCAAGTCCGTGCTCTTTAATAATGTTTCATTGTGATTAACCAGTAGAGGTAAAATATCAAATTTGGGGTGAATTTGAAAGAAAGGGAACTTGGACTATTCTGAAACCTGGCCAAGTGAGTGGGGTATGGGTTTATTTGATTGAACGTCGTTTCCAATTTATATATTGATACATTCAAACCATTGGCATTTGGTATTTGAGATAAGACAGACAGGGTTATTCCATAGAGGTAACTCTAAGACCACTGGGTCCCGAAGAAAATCATTATTATTTTTGGCTCACTCAGTACCAGAACAACGGTCCCAAGCAGACCCAAGCTATTTCACTCACCCCTGCATGTTCTGCATGAATCCACACACCCCTGATGTTATCTGTCAAACTTTCATAGCGAATCAAAACAAACATAGTGTAGTAATAGAATTTCAACTAGAATAGGGTACGTTAATCGTTTGCTTGGGACCAATAGGCTACTAAAGTGGTGAGCCAATTTAAAATCGTTAGTTTCGTATTGATTGTTGGTTATTCTGCGTGGCGAATGAGGTGAGGTGACTCGAGTCACTCGTGTCACCCGATTCCAGCTTGCGAGTGAGGTGAGAAAAGTAACTTGGGATGAACCCGATGAACT